GAGTGCTTTACTATACTTAGCCCGCAAATCTTACTTTAAAATGCTTTAACATTACTCAGTGTACCAGCGTCCATAGGTCACCATTTAGAACAAACCTATGTACGTTACTCCAGAATCTCGAATTTACTTTTAATATAGATACTCTCTTAATATATAGATTTTATCAAAATCTAACTGTAGTATTTGTCCTCATGGTGGACTTTTGACGTCATTTTTTAATTTTTCCAATTAAATTTTCCCTCGGTGAAACATTTTATTTTTTTTTCTCTGTGCGGCCCCTAGCCTATGCGGGGCCCATAGGCAGTTGCCTAAACTGCCTTATGGATAATCCGGCCCTGATCAAATCGGAAATTTCACACCAATCTATAATTAAAATAAGTAACTATATAAAACTAGTATATACATATTGTTACGCCATGTCTAATATCGGTAGGGGTCTATTTCACGAAATAAATATAAAAGTAATAGTTTCACGATACTACGCTTTTATTAAAACTGTATTGTATTTCTGATTAAAACCTAACATATACCGGAACAGCATACCTTTTAATTAAAATGTCCTTTCATACCTCGTAATATGTACCTGTTGCAGACAAAGGCTACAATCGACATCTCCATATAGAAATATATTAAAACAAATTTTATATTTATACTAGCGACTTATCCTAGCTTCGCTCGGGTGCGTCCTAGATGCGTTTTAATTTTTATATTTTTATATTTATTGTTATATATTAATACTATTACGTATATATAATATATACATCTATGATAAATATGTACGTGTACATACTTGTACATATGTATTTTATAAGCTTTCATATAATATATAAATTTCATATAAAATATTTATATTGTTATGTTAATTAACGTTACGCTAATATTATTTGTACAATTATGAATTTTAGTGCAACATAAAGCAACATAATTGGCATGCGCATTTTGAAACAAATTTCATGAATTCACCAAGTTGCTCTTAATTAAGCATCGCTAATCTGGCGTGCTTTAATCAAAACATTACCCTGGCAATTCGCCGTTTAGCGTTGGCTGTCAAATTAAATTTAAATGGAAACAATTTATAACTTTATTATGGCATACGACCCACGATCCTAAATCTCGGGCGAAGGCATAAAATACTGCGTTACGTACGGTTGATGAAAGATTTAAAATATTTTTATAGCAAAATAGTCTTTATAGTTTGCGTCATAAGAATCATATGTTGGATATATGAACAGAACTTACGTATAACATCTAAAGCGCCTGCATGGAATTGTGTTTTATTAACGGGTTATAAAGTTGGAACGCTACACGTCGTTGGCAACTTGTTACTCGATTCGTCCACGATGTAGCTATTTACCGTCATTACTACTCATGGGCTAATTGTTTTCCAAATTCTATTTAAGCAAAATATTTAGATATACATATACTTTCCCGAAATAAAACACGTTAATAATATTATCCTAAAAGATAAGCTAGCTTTCCAAATACGTGTGTAAAATCATAATGTAACCTAAAGTGATATTTTGTGTAGTGTAGTACGAGTATCTTATATTATAGTATATATATATTCGAAGTAATATAAAGATTCAAGAGGAAAAATATTGGTTAGTCATCCTTTTCAATCGCTCAAGTAAGTGAGTTTATACCTTATGTTACATTATATATTAAATTGTTGTTTATTACAAAATAAAATAAGATCCCTATTGCTATTCAATAAATTTTGTAACAAAACTTTATGTTACTATAATAAAACTATGCGAATACATTAACAAATATTATGCATTTTAACGTTTTATCTTATCATATTTTATTTAACATTAACTAAAAACAGTCTACAATCCAACTCCTTACATAATAATTACATATACGATCGCTTTGTGACGTATTGTAATAACTAAGTTAATTAACTTGACGCCGACGTCCGCCCAACACCGTCGCGTTCACGTTGGAGATAACTAATTGTAATTAACTAATCACACACGCCTCTCAGTATGATTAATTATATGATATATACGTATATATATTAGACAAATATTAAAAATATTTTATCTTAATAAATATTTCAAAAAATAACGTGTCTCATTAGTTTGAAGGTTTTTTGTTATTACATTAATGAACGTGTTTGAAATATATGTGTATAGTTTTAGCCATATTGGATATTTAATCTTATGTCTAGAAAGGTTAAATATATTCTGGCAGCGATATCATATATTCACTCATTTAAAAAAAATGATTAAATGAATACAATAGATTTTTTTAAGCTCGTGATAAGTGGTTGCCGCAAAGAACGTTAATTATTAGTCGTAGGTGCATGTTCAAAGCCTTATTTATGGTTATTTCAGCCTAAATTATGATAAACAAAATGAATGGCTTTCTGTCACTACGATAATAAACACACACTTCACTGCCCCCATATTAAATTAAGTTAAGCCCCCTATATTTTCTGTTCTTAAAACAAAAAGAGCTTTCAAGAGCCACGATTTTATTGTGGTATATAAAATAAACAAAACATTGCTAAAAGTTAGCCTAAATCAATTGCTGAAAGTGTTTTCGAGAATATAAAACCGACGAATAAATATGTCTATTTTTAATAAAAAAAAGGTATTTCGAAATACGTTCTGCAAATATAACTCCATAAGATAATTATACATAAATAAAGATACATCCTAGCATTTCACGAATTCCTTTAACGAGATAACGCATGTTAGGTGATAATTTCAAACTCATAGCTGCACAATCTTTCATCTATTTATTTTAATGTTAATTCTATCACAAGAAATGAATATCGATTTGTAAATATTAAGTTAAATTAATTATAAGCGTCATCGATTTTCCTATTTAATATAACCGAAGAAATGGAACAGAGGAGGAAATCTACCGCCCAAACGGCAATCCTTATTTGTTGAAGCGTGTATAACATGTCCAATTAATACTAAGGCAACGCGCCCTCCACCCTGTAACTATTACATCCACCCTCTGTTTACCCACGACCACGAGTCTTTTGTTTACGCTTAATGGCTTAAATAAAACGGGTCAAATTTGCAAAACGGCAGCTTAAAAAGGCTTTAATAACATAACAGCTCCCGTCCAATTTGCACTTTAACCTCAGGTAGTAAGACACAAATTTAAATTCGCCATAAATGTTATTAATACTAGTACGCGTATGTACTCATATAGGAGAACCCGTAATCACATCAAACTCTTGTCTTTTTACCTCTTATTGTTGCTAGGGAGCGCTGTTACAACTATAAAAGATAACAGCTCAGGCCGATTTTCACTTAACTGTCCATTTAATTTCCTGACCGAAGCTCCGATTGTTACATCACTTTGTTTAAGCTGTAATCGAGTTCTTTGAGAGCGTTCTTTTCTGAGGAAATGAATATCAATCACGACGTCAAAGAACACTAACTTTTAAATTAAAAATTTTGGCGAATTCATTCAATAAAAAAGTTAAATCTTTTATTTATTATGATTACTTTTTCGATTGCGACATTATATTACTAGCATGTCACTTTTATTATAAATAGCTTTGCTCATTTTTTAGACGTATGAACATTTATTTTATACAAATGTTCTTTCCAATATCTTGAAGCGATATCTTAATAAATCCCATAAAACTCCAATGTTTTAACCACGCAAGCACCTGCTCCCGCTTGGGGCAGGCTTTGAATGTAAAATTAGTCTTGTTTCTTTTTTACCACTTAGTAGAATCCTCTGATATAGATAGAATTGAATGTAAATCATTGTTCTATACTCTTGTTTTAATATGAATATACGATTATTACTGTCAAAATAGAATTTGGAGAAGAAAATTAATGAATACGTCCTGTCATTTTCAAATATTGTCACGTTCGATACAAGCAGGAAAGTGATATATTCCGAAAAACGTGCTTGGAATATTTTTTCGAGTATTGAATATTGATTGCAGCCATTTTTAATACGATGAGAAGCAATCGCCGTTATCAGACTAACTTTTGTATTGAAATAGTCACCGTAAAAGCCACTAAGTAAGGTTCTAAATATACTTCGTTCACCCTAATTTTGTCCGATTTTTTTCAGTTTTAGCTTTATTTACTTTTGGTACTGAAAAAAAAATTGATAATATTCCATTGTTAAGAACAATTTCAACTCAAAATGACATTTCTTTGTATCTTTTAATACCTAAAATTAAATATATTGTTGTATTAAACTTAGAATGTAAATTTGACGGTTGCTGTTAAGTAATAAAATTATTTCGTAATTTTCCACACCTGAAGACCATTAATGTCGCTGTACTATATTTATTGCTATCACTAATTTCAAGGGAAATATAGTTTAGGTACATATATGTGAACAATAAATATTGAAAAAATAAATATACTCGTATGTACATATATCACTTTCAACTAAAAATAATTAGTTGTCAAGCATAATTATCCGTTTAAAATCATGTAGTCTTTCTTATATTAGTATAATGTTATTTATTGATCTTTTCAAACGTTTAAGAATTTATCGAAAAAATACGTTTGCAGTGAGCTAAGAATAAAAAAAAGCAGACAAAATATTTCAGTAAAAATAAAAAAATATGGCCGCAGCACGTTTTTCATCGCATCGAGAAAAGCATCTTTACGATTTTTGCCCATAGTGAGACAATGACACATTTCGTATTAACGAGATCATGACAAACAATTATTTGGTCAACATACATTACGTGTGAGAATTGAACATGTGTTGTCCTAAGTAGTAGCTGGCGGCATTTAGGAACATCTCGGGCAATTTCCCGTAATTAAATGTTATAAATGAACAACTTTGCTTGAAAATAAATAAAACCATTACAAATTACAATAGCTATAAAACATATATACATATACTTTCAAAAATAAAGTAAAAACATTAGGGTGCTTCAAAATCATTCACCCGGAGCTCCTTGAAGTCAAAACTAGCACTAGTTTCGTATACTATTATATACTCATATTAAGTACATATTTCATATACTAACAACATTTAAATTTACATAAACTGACCTTTTAGTTCACTTCCATCTTCGTCCCTAAACACGATATTTCGTCCTCCTGTCCGCTTCCAAGATACAGTGGGTTCTGGGACGCCAGTTGCGGTACATCGGAGTTCAACTGAACCTCCCTCGGGTGCACCGGCCTCGGAACCATCGCCGTCCGCAATGTCAGGTGGTATTACAACTGACAGGTGACCAGTCTAAAAAAATATTATTATTTGTAATAGTTTTACTTAAAAATATTATTCATTAATAAGGTATCTAAAATATGTAAATTAATTACTCGTTCTTTATCATTTTTTATCATTTAATACTACAGTTTTGTTTGAAAAATGAAGTACGGTTCAAATATAAAAATCCTACTAATATTGTAAATGCGAAAGTTTGTGATGATCTATGGATGTCTGAATGTATAGATATATGGATGTTTGTTACTCTTTCACCTAACAACTATTGAATGGATTTGAATGAAACTTTACAATAATATAGCTCATACATCCGAATAATACTTTGGATACTTTATATCTCGGTAAAATGTAGGTATTATTTTGGTGGGATAGATTATAAATTAAAATTCTAAGAGAACCTACTAATTTATTTATATTATTTAATGACTTGATAACATAATCATTAAATTCATCATAAAAAAAGCTAATTTGATATCAAACCTGAATAATATATTTTTATTAATATCGAAAACAAAGTAAATGAAAGTCAGTGTAGTATCTCTTGGGAAAACAAGGAGCTAAGTTATCGCTTAATACAGCCTCCGGGGATGGAACAGGCATTGCGTTCAAAACTAGTTTCCTATTGGCATTGTGTTGTTATAACTAGAGCAAGATTATTATAGATAATATTAAAGTATCCGCTGGATATTGAATTTGAAACCACTCTGACGCTAACAACGGATATTTGATACAATACCTATAATAACAATATACAAACATTTATTACCATTCTAGTACGAAATTTATACGTTCCCGTTAATAATCTTAAATAAGGTTCTACTACTATGTTTTATTTAACAACCTGGAGTCCATTGAAATGAATTAGGCAACATGTTATACATAACTCGGAGTTGAGGTAGAACACATGATGCATTAATAACTTATGACTCCTTCGATTTCTAAAAATATTTTTCGTATATTTAGACTGCCTATCACCTCCCCTATTCAAAAATACCACCCATTCCTCCAGATGCCCGGCACATATACGAACTGCTACCTTAGAATATTACTGTAATTATTGAAGATACTATTATTAGTTTATCAAACTACTTTTTTCAATATTTTTCTTTTTAGTAACCGACTTCAAAAAAGAAAGAGATTCTCAATTCGTCGAAATCTTTTATTTTTTCTTTTCAAATGGTATATTATCATGGTCATCAGGTCAGGATCTGATGTTGGGATCCCGGAGAAATCGAGGGAACTCTTCTAATTTTATAGGCATACTTGAAGCGATTGGGGTGCTTTTTTTATAGTGATTCGTGAATTTTCTTTTAGATACTTTCTTCTTACTTTTTTACTACTACGTTTACTCTAAACCTAGAAAAAGAGAACTTAAAAAACCGACTTCAAAACAATATAAAGTAAAAAATAACTAAATGGCAGTTTCCATTACAACTATAGATACCTAATCAGATATTTTCGAAGTCGGTATGCTTTTTAAAACTAGCAACAACTATAGTAAAACTTCATAAAATGTTTCATCTGAGCATGTTTCACGATTTATTTTGAATTTCTTACATGAATGCTACGAAGAAATTACCGATATATACCAAACTAATAGTGCAGAACCACAGGGCCGTGAATGTTGCATGAAGACATATGACTCCTTTAGCGAGCACGCACTGAGGAGACTTTGACAAAATTCCATTGGAGTTTGAAGTGACAGCGCGTTTTAGAGATTTATCAAGACTAGGTACGCGCAATATCTACTAAATTTAAACAGGCCTGATGGATTCTTATTCTTATGACATTGAAGATAAAGGCTACAATGCTTGAAAAGTTAATACAAACTTTCTACGTGTAAGTTTCCAAGTGTACGAGTATCTCTGTATCGGCTACTTTTTGTTCCCCAATACATTTCCTTCGTCTTTGTACGTGATCGAATTTCGTCAACCAAATCGTATCTACTCGATACAGTGTTAAAAATACGTAACTTTGTGAATACCTTTATACCCTAGTTCAAAACAACCCGCTCAAGTTTTAGTTTGTAATACGTATACTTTCTAAACCTTATAAAGTTTCTTACATACACAATTTGTCTATGATCTAATAATGGTGATATTATGGTATTTTAAAGTTACGCTCTTTTACTAAATAAAAAAATCGAATAACTGTGACACTATGTTTGCAATTTTAAAAGAATATATATCATACATATTATATACATTATAAGGTAGGTATATAACATATATATATATATATATATATATATATATATATATATATATATATATATACAAAATTACATATAAATGTATATGTTACATAGATATATAACATATACAAACTATATAACTCGGCGACAATCCTAAACTAAAATAAGTCGTTTAAAGATATCTGCCTCATTTTTAAAAAACCTATTCAAAGACATCACATAAGTGCAAAAGAATTTTTTTTCAACCTTCATCTACAATTATAGATTGCCACCCCTATTCTTTTATTTTGCCTAATTTAACTACAGCATTATCTTGCCTTATCGAGCATTATCTAAACAATACTGGCATGATGAAGTTATGATGTTTCCGTTTCTACCTTTTGGCTACGTAAACCTAAAAAAACATTTATTGTCGGCTGTCATCTTATAGAATAGCACTAAATATTTATCGCTGGACGTACTTTGACAAAATTCCTAGCGAGCGAAGCAGAGGCGAGCGCGACTGAATAGGTCACATTCCCTTCTCAAATATGCAAAAGTTATATTTTAGTAGCATTTCATACTCGACTCATCGTCGTACTTTGCAGCCGCTTTAAATTTTAGTAACGGTTGTCATCTTTTCATATATAAAATTTATTTTCTTTAACTAGCCAGTTTCAAATGCTAAAACCTGTAGTCACAAAGTCTGCGAAATAAAATTAATCAGTTTAATGCTAAAATTTTCAAATTTTATAATAACTAGAAAACTTGTTTAAGGAGAGTTGTTACCTACGTCATATGATATCACTGGAAATAAAAACTATATGAGTTTTATATCCCGTACTTGAGAAATGATTGAGTATATAATAATAATAACATTAAGTATATCATATCATAAAAAATCATACATTGAGTAGGCTTATAGTATGTATTTACAGATGGCGCTGTATACTATTCATGAGTAATTTACCACAGTTAAAAACTCTTGAAGTCACTATTTGTTCACGTAAATGCGGGGTTAACTTTGCTATATTTAATACTTTGTACTACAAGCATATATAATAAAATACGTCCAAAGTTTGTAGTTCAACGCCATCTATCGTTTATTCAAGCAAACTAAAATAGCTCGAATAAGCGCTTTCTAATAATTTCATTATGTGTTTGGTATCTGTACCTACTAGTACAGTATTATGTCAGCTGTGGTGTTACGAATTGTTTGTATAATTCTGTCCGGCTTTTTTTATATTAACTTAGTTTTTATTTTTTTATAACTTACAATCTACTTAAGAAAGTAAAAATGCTCTTAAAATAAAACCCTCAAGCCTAAAACAAAAGTATTGGATTTGTCAAAACAAATAAAATAAAGTCCAAAATTTAAGGGCTAAATAGTCATCTAAGAGTTCTGCTATCCACATTCTGGGTCTCCCGAGCCCTTCGATTCTAAGTACTTAATTATTGTAATGTCCTCGGAAATATACAAAATTGCATAGATTCAAATCAATAGCCCAAATAGGAGAAGGTGAAGGTTAATATATATGTATGATTTAATTAATATAGATACTAAATCCTTTAACTGAATTTATGTGAGACTCACGTAAGAAGAGAGTCAGAAGTAAGAAAGTCAGTACTACCACAGATTAAATAATACTATATTAGTACAGATGCCTCATCCCATACAAAGAAATTGGCCAGCGCTAATTCTATTTGTGTCGTTTGCAAGGCTATTTTTGTCTCCTTGAACAAATAATAGATGGCATTGATTTTCCAAATATAATATATAGTTGAATAGTTAAACTTTTTGATTTTATAAATATATACAAATTAACACGTATGGTAAATAATGTAAAATTAATTCTGCGTTCGAATATAAAAAATCGGTGATTTTAACCATTTTTAACCGTGATAAACAAATAATAAAAAGTTAAAGCGCCATCTGTGAATATAAACTACAAACCCATTATCTGATTGCTGATATTTCAATAATCAGTAAAGTTATGCAAATTTAATTTCCAGGCGCATTATTTCGTTTCCCTTCGTTTCGAATATTTTTTAAAACAATAATATACATTTTTGGGATCTATTTTTTTAATGTTTTGTTAATTTAACACAACTTTTATAACAAATCGATACATGTAACGTTATCTATTGACATTTATTTGAATTAATTTTTCTTTGTTTGTGATGAGACCCCATGGTACTACGAACTAAAACTTAACGGAATCCCTTCGTTTTAATGGGGCGTCGCAGGATTGCTTAGACACTCAACCACGACGGGCCGAGGCGCACCACAACAACCATAGGGTTGCTCCAACTCTTCTGATAGAAGTACCTGGATGTCTAATAAAAGTACTTGGAGCAACCTATATATAGCTATGAAAGCTCCTTCAACGTTTAAAAACAGTCATCGATACTTACATTAATTTATAGTATGTGGGCGACTACTGTAGTTCTTTTTTATTATTTCGTATTTTTTAGATCAAACAAAAACTAAAAACTTGAATAAATACAAAAAAGTAAAAGTTTTAACTTTGTATAACCGGGATTCGAACCCGGACACCAGTGACTGTTACTCTTGCGCCTTGGCCGCTTGACTACAATGCGTATGCCCGAGCGTAAGAAATTAGCAACCATATTTTGCGTGGAATAATGCGAAAGAAAGCCGCATGAAAACTTGAAAACACGCGTTTTCCCAGACATAAGACTAATCTAGATCGATTTTTCGCCCCCGAAAACTCCCACACACCAAATTTCAGCAAAATCGTTAGAACCGTTACCGAGATCGCCGGTATATATAATTAAATAAATAAATATTGCTAGTTTAAAGGTGATACATATCGCT